GCGCGAGTGCCATTTTGTGACTTAAGAGACTTCTCACGTGTCTCAAGCAACTTATTCGTCTTCCATATCCGCGCGAATCCCAAGGTTAAGCCTGAGATGAGACGGTCGGGAAGATGTCTTTTTACTCCGAAAAAAGTCTTACGGTACTTTCTATATATAAAGTGACATATAAGTTTCTCTCTCTCTCTCTCTCCTTTTTTTTTAATTTTTTTTTTATCTTTTATAAAATATGTCTGTTCCACGGGTTTTGGATGATATAAAAATATCCATCCACAGAATAATAAAAAGTTACCAGAAGTTAACCACTTCTCAAAAATAATTACAACTCTCGAGGAATTATTCGAAACTCGAAAAAAATTGTCACATTGACATTCAGCAGATTCTTAATTTTTTTACGCTTGATTGTCAAAATTCTTCGAAGTGTATTAAGAATTCAGGAACTCTTTGTCGTCGAAGAAATGTCAGGGCTTTATCAATTATATCGAAATTCTGACAGTTTCTCGTGGCTATTTAGAAAGATTTGTTTTGGAATCCCCCCAAAAAAAGAGCCCTCTTAAATCGTGACGTACACAAAGATTTATTTTGTCGACGCGACTCTTGCAACGTAACCGGCAACAACTGTCGATCGAGCGCAAATGTTCCATTTACTTTTCGCGATCGCGGTTTCATTCATGCACTCACGACTCCGGGGTCCCGTGCAATTCCTTTTTAGGTCACGTGTCTGGTTTCTCGGGTGTGAAATATGCGCCGCTGCGCCCCGACGTTTTCGTATGTAAATCAGTAGTAAGCCATTACAAGCAGTCATTCAGTCGTCGATCCGCGCGAACAGAGGAGATTTATAGTTAAAGATCCTCCCTCTTCTCTCCCTCGCAAAAGTGTATGCCAAAAGTGCGAAGTATATCAATGATACAATTCCGTCTTCTATATACTGCACTTGCCCTTGAATAACGTTCTCTAAATTCTTTACAATTTCCGTGCGTTTTAGCAAATCTATATTTTTTATCTTAACTGGAAATTTCCAACTTTCTGAGTCTTGTTGTCTCGGAAAGTCACCATTTCCGTTGCCACCCTCTGAAACCTCTGGACTCGTTATATGTCTAATCTACAAATATCTCGTCGTTCTACATTCTCGAACGTATCCATACCTCTTGGAACATACGCCGCCGGCTCCGCAATACACCCGAATCTCTTACGTCTCGGGATATAATCGAGAGAGACTGGGCTTTCTCTCTCTTTCTCTATCTCTATCTCTGTTTCTCCTTTTCTCGCTCGCACATATACACGTGACCGCCCCTGCGCGGTTCTCCTGTGTGTAACTTTGGTTTAAAATTAACTCTCCCTCTTACTCTTCGCGACTGGCACCGAGACGCGGCACTCGCTCTGTGAAAATGAAAAAGAAAAATACCGGGAGGAAGGAGGAGGAAGAGGCTCGCCCTTTTTCCTCCTTCGTCCTCTCTTAGCTCGCGTGACGAGCATGCCATGAGAATTCCATCGTGTGCTCTCCGACGAACTGAAATTGCGCGGCGCGACGGGCGTTGGTCGCCCGTCTTTTCCGTCGCGACGTCTTTTCAATGGAGACGCCTCGTGGAACGAAGCAGTCGCATTTTTAGAAAGGATACTTTATTTAGGATTGCTTTTGAACTTCTTAATGTTCGTGAGAAACGCGATATTGCGACAGAGCGTTAACGCGACGACGTGTTAGAATGACATTGACTATTATAATGATAGCCATTTGATTTTATATCCGTATGCCAATTATTTTTTTTACATGCAAACCTGTGTATCTGTGTGAGAAACAACACCAAACAGCAACAAACATCCTTATCATTTTTGCGATAATACTCTTTGTAAAATAAATAACTCGAATATCGAAGATTTTCTCTTTCATGAGTCGAGAATTTAAGGATTTGTTAATTTAACGTTAAAGCCGATTAACTCTATATAACAGTAGGTTGAGGAAAGCTTAACGTAGTGATTTAAGAAAATTCTCTACAGCTACTTTGCCAACTCATTAAAGCACCTGAAAAACTAGTTTGTAAGCTATATTTTTCTATTGTCCTGTATCGATGGATGGTTTCAACGTGTAACGATTTAATAAAAAGGATTGATCTGTACGCGTATTTTTCGAAATTCATTAGAACCAGCGTGTAGTTAGAATTTTGGGAAGGAGAGGGGGAGGAGTTGTGCTTATCGACGAAAGCTGCCGGAAGGGGCGAACGTCTCCGTGCGGATTTTACATATCGAGATTCTCTCGGTGGGTCTCCCTCGCAAGGTCAACGTCCCGAGACGCGAGACATATGGCAGCGAAACGGCGCGGGATATTATTATCCGAAAATCGCGCAATATCATCGAGTTATAGCCGCTCTCTTCGGGGCTTGTCCACGCGGATTCTCGAAGCGATAAAGCGCGTGGGAGAGAACCTCGCGAGTTCTGGCACGAGTTCGCGTTGGTGGCAAAAGAGACTCGGGACGAAATTAAGAACGGGTTGTTAGGCGAGCGCTCGCCGCGTGGGCTGCGCCTTTTTTTAGCGTCCCTTAACCAGTTTTCACGTCAACGTTTTCCTCGCCACTTCGGCCAGGTGGGCCGACGGACGTTTCTATCAGCTGCTCTTTGCGCCTTTCTACGATTTTTCTTTTTTACCTCCCTCCCCCGGACGTGTTCTCATTTTGCTTCAATCCTGCGGCAGTGGCGAGCCAACATTCGCGAGCGCATCTCTGCAGAGAACTCACCCTTTCGCCTAGAATTTGAGAAATATTTTGCACTTTAGCTTTAATTTTTATAGTGATATAATGTAATTAATTTTAATTATATTTTTCAAAAGTTTGAGATTGACGGAAGTATCCAAGTGACCTTTTCGACAAGTGGAAATCTTAATAGACATAGCGCGTAATGAAATTTACTACCTCTATGAATTTAGTACATTAATAAATAATATTAGACTAACGTAAACTGATAAACAGTCAGTATTAATTAGCGATGTTATTATATTTTAGCAGCTCGTTTATATTCGCGAGCAGGTTTACGTAACGAATACGGATTTATTACGCCAAATTTCATTAATCTAAATTACCCATTACATTATATTAATTAAAATTAATTAGTTATTCTTCGGTTAAAATTGATCGTGCTAATTTTCTGTTTTCTATTAAACAATATAATATAAAAAAGATTATTTTATTCGTAATTAATATATGTTGCGCTTTATCTCATTCTTTCTTCATAAAAATTCTTAGCTTCAGAATTACCGAATTGCTGAAGTCTCCTTCACGAGCCAAAAGACCAAGAAAATGCAGTTGAGATTTTTGTCGCGCGAATATTTAACAAATAAAACGTGAGTATGACAATCGGGTCAATTTCCAGGTCCATTTAATTTCACGGTAACGTCGTGGCGACAGAAAAAAATCTTTGACGCCAGAACGGAAGTGTCGGAGTCTCGTTGTCCTCGTTATCTCGCCACCGCTGCAGAATCAAATGCGAAAAGTGGAAAGAAAAGATGCACTTGCAAACGGCCGAGCCTTCCTTTGTCACGCGAGTATTCACCGAATAGACGTATCGAACAGGTCGATCGATTCGACGATTTCCGAGGTCCATCCAATCGCACGGGGGTTGATTCTCCGCCAACTGTCGCGGTGCACAGGTGGGTGGTGGCGGTGCGTGGTTGGGGCGGGGAGGAGGAGGAGAAGGAAGAGGTGGAGGAGGAGGAGAGGAGAGTGCTCCGGGGGCTCTGGACTAGATCGATAATGCATCTCTTGGCGGGCGTAGTTCCTCTTAGTCACCGGAGGGCGATCGCACCTGCGAGGAGGCATTCCTCGTTTTAGAGCCGCTCCGGTTCGCGAGAGAAGGTCCCGCTCGCTCGTGTCGGTCCGTCTCGCCGCGTATCAACGTGTGTACGAACGTGGGGTAAAGCGATCCGGGACAGCCGCGCGGAATATTAACCGCTCGACCCTTCGAAACGTGATAGCTCGTGTCCATCGTGTTCGGATTTCCGAGAATCCTCCTCGTTCGATAACTCCTTCGATACGATTCCCCTTCAGAACATCCTGCAGGTACGTAACGTGTCCTTTCGCTACGTGAACGATGCGAGTGAGCGGGTGGTTTTCGAGGGTTGATCCGCGATACTCCCTGAGTAAAAAATTGCGCTGTAACTATCATCTTATCTCAATGTCGCGTGCAATGGCACAATGACTTTCGCAATATGGATCCGAAAAACGGTGTGTCTCCTTCGAATATTGCAAGCTGGTAATCTGGAATGAGATATTCTCATGCGGCTCCCGTACACCACTTTTAACATTTCCTTTTTATTCTTACAGTTTTAATCTGTTACGCTGAAAAATTAAGTTTAACCCGCAATTTTCATAAACAGTCGTCTTCCGTTAGTTTCTAGTGAAAGTATCGAAAATTTTACGAATTATTCTCGATGATTACGCGATCGTGAAGTAAAGTTACAATATAATTTGTGCAATGTTTGAAGTAATCGTTGTAATAAGGATGAAAAGTGAACTTGTAATTTGCGAGATTTAGTTTAAATACGACTTTGAATTGAAGTATCTTACGGATTGTAAATTTATGCAATTCTTGATGCTAAGTTGTTTGCTTTAAGTAGTACAAGAAGAAAAATATATGAATTTGTCGTTAAAAAAACTTGAAAAAACATCGAGATTGAAAATGAAATGTGTCATGTATTTGATACCACTCAGCATTGGTATTTTCGTAAAATAAAACACAATAGAACAGAACCTAGGCAAGTTAATAAATTATTAGAAAAAAGACGTGCTTACAATGTCACGTTTACTCACTTCACTTTCCTGCAATAAAAAGTTACGGAGTGGTACTTTGTTTCTTGATTTGATACGATTTGAGATGTATACATAAGAAATGGTATACCGACGAATGTGGTTTTTATCTTACGTTAAATGAAAGTAACATGACATAAGAGATACGTATAACATAACGAATTCATTCGTTAATGTCAGCTCTAACATCTTTTACGCTTATTCCAGAACCTCCTCAGCATGCACAGTTCGAACCGGATAATGTAGTGGACACTGATTCCGAGGACGAGTGGAATTACTATCGGCCGAACGAACAGGAATCCGCAGCGGCAGCTGTTGCGCCAGACGAATCTCATAAAGGCGTCGAGGAGCAAAGTACACAGGAGAATCCAGAGTCTGTCGCGAAAGGTAGCTCGGAAGTTGAGTCTCCGGAAACAGAGAACGATATTAAATGCGAAGAATTAGTGAAAGATACCTCCTCGTCTGAGCTTATCAACACCAATGTAAGTATTTGTCTTGTTGTCGCTTTTCTCGCCTTCGTCGATAGAAACATTGTCGTTCGATGCAAAAGTACATATTTTAAATTATACCGATGTGCTTTTAGATAAGCGACGAAAAAAAATCGAGCGAACTGGAAAAGGATCAGATTCTCCTAGATCTACAGAAAGAGAAAACAGAACAGGATAACATGGATTTCCAATTGAATCCGGAAGCAGCCGAATTTGTGCCGTTGTCACCACCGTTAATGGGTCCCAGGGTCTTCTTGGAGGATTTTGCCCTTAGTGGCTCTCCTCTGAAGCAACCACAGGCAATGGATGATATTTCTATACCGAGCCAGAGCGAATTTGATAAGGAAGTGTGTTACCGACCAAAGGAGATAGGCGAAGAATTCGCGCATGAAGAACAAGCAGATCTGCAGAATAATGGTTCGCAGAGTATGGATGTATCCGAGATTTCGTCAACCAAAGCCGAAATGGGTGATGATGAATCTATGATGCATGTCACGTCTACCTCGCAGTGGCAAACGAATATCTCTTCTCAATGGAATGAAAAGACGGGCGACGATGCGGGATCCGATTTGGAGGAGGACGATATTGTCACCAAGAATAATCCCATGGCTATGTCGCTCACTCCAGGTAATTTCAAGGCGGCATTCGAGAAAAGTGTCGATCTAAATGCCGTACACATATTGGACGACAGTTCAGATGGTGCTGAACAAGTGAACACGCCGCCGCGTTCACCCAAGCCGTATGCAGACGAGGATCGCGCGCACACACCCCTCTCGGAGGACAAGAGCCCGAGCGATATCCTATGCGCGTCAACACCACAGCCCCCAGACGATAACTCTGTGTCCACTATGAGCTCTGAGATTAGCTCCGAAACGAAGACCTCTTCTCTTTCAACAACAGTGCGTTACAAGGAAAAGTTGAACCGTGAACCTATTATAATTACCACGAAACCACCCTTTAGCTCCTTCGGGATAAAAGTAATGGAATGTTTGCCGGTAGAACTAGAAGGATTTCATTACTTCTCTGCTGAAATGAAACATGATGGGTCAATACGGTCCGAAAGTTCCATAGAAGAATGTGAAGAAGACGCAAAATTAACAAAGGACGAAGAAGATGCAAAATTAACAAAGGACGAAGAAGATGCAAAATTAACAAAGGACAAAGAAGACGCAAAATTAACAAAGGAGGAGAAAGAAGAAAAGATAAAACAGTTATTTTCACTCTCAGATGATGCAGATACGGCTCGCATTATGAAACAGGCAGCACAATCGTTGCAGAATTCTTCGCAAATCATAGAAAAGGAAAGTATGGAGTCCGAAGTGCCGAAAAATCTTCCAGATTCAACGAATCATTTAAATTTAAATGACGCAATACACATCTCAAAACAAGATGTCGTGCCACAGTCATTATTATCGGAAAAGATATTTCCAGAAACGGCCTCGGGTACGGAACAGACGCACTATCACGCTAATTTGGACTCTGCAATTATCTCTGAAAAAATGGATACTTTTAGTCAATCGTTTAAAACCGAAAGCAGTCAATTGAATCAATCTAACCGGACGGATTGCTATAAATCAGAAAACTCGATGCCTCAACTTGAAAATGTTGATCCCGAGTTTGCACACGAAGATGGTTCTCAATTAGAAAATAGAAAACAGAAAGAGGTTGAAAACCTCCTCTTTTTGTGTGATAACGACGAACCGGACTTTGCAACTGAATTTATAAACCCCTTTTTATTTAATTCGATGCAAAAATTTAGCTTTGCGGAGGACAAGCTGCAACAGAAAAACAAGATGTTCATGGAACACGTACCGACAGAACCTACAACGTTGATCAACAAGCCAACTGAGCAAGAGCAAGCAAAGTTAATACCTGCAGAATTACTCATTGATGTTGATAAGGTACTCAACATAAATGTCGAATCCGAAAATATTCCTTCGAAAGAGGGAGAAACTGAGCCACGAGAAACCGCAAAAGCATCACCAGAAGATACCGCGGCGATAGACAAATCGAAAGAAGAGGTTACAGGAATCGCAGGAGCATCGGTGGGAGCCGTCGTCGCTACAACGGCGGCGGCCGTCGCCACTGTGAGCCCGATCAAGGCGAAGGCGGCTACGACGACGAGCGCAAAACGTCCAACGAAAACTACGACGAAAGCAACAACAGCATCGACAACGAAAACGATAACGAAATCCACGCCAACCTCGCCCTCCAAAACGGTCAGCGCGGCCATGCGAGGAACTACGACATCACCAGCACAATCGGCTGCGAAAAAACCCGCTACGAGTACCGCAACTCGTCCCAAGCAACTGGACGGATCAACCAAAGCGGCGATCTCGAGCACCAGCGGTAAAACCACTGTCACAAAGACAACAATAACTACCAAGGCAGCGACGACGACAACAGCTACGAGAACCAGCGCTTCTCCACGTTTGAACTCTGGTACAACGAGACCAAAAACTACCACTACCATCTCGTCGAAGGTGAACAGTGGCATATCGAGCGAGAAGAAATCGACGATGAGCAGTGATGCGAAATCCGTCAGCAAACCTGCCACCACAAAGCCAACGAGCGCTACTCTTAGAACAACAATCACTAGTACAACCGCGAAGACCACTTTAGCCAAAACATCGTCAACGACCGCGAAAACATCGCCATCCAGTGTAACGTTGAAACCAAGGCCCGCGTCCGCGACTGCAGCTGCTAAGATCACATCGATATCGAAACAGCCGGCGACCGGCGTCAACAGCGCGTCGAGACCCAGAACCGCGCCGACGACCAGCACGATCAAGCCGCGCGAAAATACCGGTAGAACGATCACGGCCACGACCACTAAATCGCCGTTAATCGATAAACAGAGTAAAGAGACGGTCAATAAGCAAATCTCCCGTTCTGGGGCATCAGCGCCCAAGATCAGTGGTCGCACTTCCGCGCCCACCGGCACAACTGGCGTTACGAAGACACGCACATTTACTGGGAAATCGACTGGGAACGCAACCTCGCCAACAAAGAAAACTCTGACCTCGAAGACTGCCTCCAGGACCTCCTCCACCGCGACGAAGCGATTACCCTCGAGCGAGACCAAGGTATTGCAGAATGGAATTCCCAAGGAGGACGTGACCAAAGCCGCCGTCATAACAGCAACGAGCAAACCCGAGGACGACGTGCCGCGGAAGGACACATCGCCGGTGAACGTGCCGACCGATAATCAGCTGATCGCCGATTGAACGGTCGATCGGTAAGCTGCGAACTGTCCGCCGCTGTCGCGCAACACACGTCGGCCTAGGGATTACGCGTCGCGGGTTTACGTGAACCGATACATAGGTTCCTCCTTATTATTATTGTTCAACGGACAGAGCACGACCGCGCGTCGGGACATCCGCTGGAGTAGTGTTTAGGGAGATATACATGTATGTTGAACCGGAAAAATTTTTTATTGTTCTTACGTGAATGCATACATACGTGACAGAGATATTCAAACTATCAACGAGAGAGTGAGGCATACCCTAAACATTGCTTTCGACAACTGCTGCCTTATCGCAATAAGGGGGGATCGACAGTCTTGTTATGTAAATATAATTGGATGCGTTTTCACACGTCATTACTTTCAACTGATCCGCGGGCCCGAGTTTGTCTGAGAGAAGAGTGCCTCGTGACGGCCTGAAAAATAGACCTTCAACTCCGATATGGCAGTACGTTAATCTTTAACCTTTAACGAAACTCGATAAAATATATGGATTTTTTACAATTTTTTAATTTTATATGCGCATTATAATTGATAACGATTACTCGCGACACAATTTTACTCGAACGACAAAGGGAAAAACATGGAAAAGAAAAGAGGAGAAGAGGGAAGCGTATATTTATTCTCGTTTGTTCCTATTTTTGAAGTTGAATTCATTGCGAGATATATATTGACTCGTAATCATGATATATGTAATGCTATCTAATCTATGTGTACAGCACCCTAATGGTTTAATGTGATACCTTACAGTACTATTAAATAAATTCGAATGATACACAAGAGGAGCCAGAAGAAGTTTATATATATATATTTGAGCGGAAGACGAGAAAACGAGCGGGATCCAAAGATTAAAAGGGAATCAGAGAAATACTATTTCTTTCTGCGGATATAATATTTCGGCCGCTCTTTTTAGATATTCTCTCACTAAATGTTTGGATCCCGCTTCTCGCGTTTCTCGACGCAATCAACGTCATCATTGCGCGCGCGCGTGCGTTTAAAGCTTTTATACACCGCACAAATTTCACAAAGGAAGGCTCAGACCCGAACTTCAGCGATTTCGAAACTTGGCAGGATTCACAGAAAAAGTTCTCCCGAATGTAATGATATCCCTATTTGGGTGCAGACGGTCAAGCGTTTCTGAAATATTTTAATAATTAATTTAGTAACGTCTTTAGTAGGATTGTCACGTATGAGTATTTGTGACATACGAGTAGTGGATATGGTCTACCTCATAATTTGTAGATTTGAGTTTAAACCCCACAATCAATTTTTTTTATTCTATAAACGTTTTATGATGAAAATAATTATTGTTAATATAAAGAAATAAATTATTTTAATATAAAAATTTGTATTATATAAATAGTAATATAAAATAATGTAATAGTTATGATATAAAGTCTACAAATTATGAGGTAGTTACCACAATTACTCGTACGTGAGTATCCCAATAAACTACTAAAGACGCTACTAATTTATTATAAAAATATTTCGGATAAACAGTTGATCATCTGCACCCAAATAAGAGGTATCATTATGTTCGAGGAACTTTCTCCGTAAATCCTGCCAAGTTTTATGGAAAACAGTAGAGCTCAGTTCTGAGTCTTCCCTTGTCAATTTCTTTTCTTTTGCGTTCGACGCTTCCACTGTTAGAGCACGCGCTCGGACCAACGACGTGATGAAACTTCGGTCGAAAACGGTTTCCGTCTTTTTTTTTTTTTTTTTTAATCCCGTTTGACTTACGATCGTGAAAATATCTCTTTCGTCTGATTTTATCGGAACCAAGACATGCCCGCGATGGTCTCTAAATGCGCCAAATAATCATTAAACAAGCGTTCCCGCAAACATGATGAGATCGATGTAATTAAAAAGATCGGCGATTCTTTTTAAGGTGATTTAAACGTTCGACGCGAGTCCTCTGTGTAAGGGACTCGCGATGCCGATCTGTACACGCACGCACAATATTCGATATGATATGCATTAAATGCGGCTTCGTATCAAGGAGAGAAAGAGAGAGAGAGAAAGAGCATAGCTTAGCGTTTTCACGCGCGTTTCGTATGCATGTTATTCCGATTTTCTTGTGTACGCGTATTTGTCACCATTTTATTCTTCTTTTTTTTCTCAGAATTCATAATTGAATAAATAAATATTACGTTTGAACAGTGTTATTCAGCATTACGTCCTGTCGTTCTCGCCTCACCTCGAACATCGCTGGGGAAATGGAGTAATGGACAGAAAGAAAAAAAAAGCACTCTTTACATTTCAATCTCTTTAATAAAGGGTGATGTTACGTGGCGCTATTTAAATTAAGAACCGGTTTTTACAGTCTTTTATACGTACGCTTGGCTTTAACGTCACTCTTGTTGGTGGATAGATGCTGAAAGAGAAAAAAGAGCGCGTAAGGCACGTGTACTTAGTCATATTGCGTCATTGTCATTTCATTTGTGCAGAATCGCTTATAACGTTGTCAATTATATCGGAATCACACTCACCACGACCATTCCGGTGTCTGAAAATTCGTAAACTCGGATTACTTTGACGTCCTTTGCCGCTAATGGGGAGGTGCTCACCGTTTTGAAGCCGTTGCCTTCTTTCGTGGTCACGCTCTGCGATATAAAATGTATAACGATTTAATTGTCGATTATACTTATTATAAAGAACGGCAACACTCGCGTCAAGCGCGATTTTTACATTCTCAAGTCCGTCGTCGTTGACCTTTGTATCCGTCGAATGTCACCGGACACCTTCCATGCTTTTATGCGAGAGGAATGGAGAAAGAAGATTCACTTCTCTATCATTTTAGCGCGCAAAATCAGCGTGAGGCTTGCAAATGAAACGCGAGAAATCAGATATTGTACGTAAAAGCTGTTTTTATCTAATCATTCGCCGTACAGAGAATAGTTCATCTAACGTTACCTTCTTTCGGAATATCAAATCTTCCTTTCCGAAGTGGAAGAAGATATTCCAAGTGGTAACTTTAGACGAATCATCATGTGATCGATGTCCGAGAGTAATTTTGAACCTTCTGTCGCATTAATTTTATCCTGTTCATATTTCATGACTCGACGTGAATCTTCGCTGAATACGCACGATTGAAGCAATACACTCTCGGTGGAACCCACCTGGAAGACGATGCCCTGGGTTGGAAGCTGCTCGTCATACTCCTCGCCGGGCTTGAAGGTGTTGGTGACGGTCTTGTCTTTCCTGGTGACCGTGACGACCCACTGGTCACCGTTCTGCTGGATCTCCACGATCGGCGTGGCCTGCAGGAACATGTCGGCGAGCTCGGCCTTGCCGAGGCTCTTGACGTAATCCTCGAAGTTCTCGCTCGACACGTATTCGTACTTGCCGACTATCTGCGCCATGGTTGAACGTGAGAAAATTGGCTTGGTCGCGCGCACAAGTCAGAATCTGAATCGCCGCTGAGGAAAGATGAACGACGCGCCGGGACGCGCCGGCTTTTATAACGACATCCGGCAGGGGGTGGGGAAACCCCCCCGTTTCGTTAAGGCATCTCGCCGGTCCCTCGCGAGAGAGCGAGAGGGAGGATACCGCCGGCCAATCTGTAGTCTGATTCCGGACAAAGTATTCGACGGATTATCGTCGACGGGCTGATAGACACCGGCCCAGTCTGTCTGTCCTGTCGTTTTCATCATCGCTGCTGATGTACCCCTCGCGCACGGTGCCCCACGGTGGTGGATGTGCGCGAGGGGCGGAAGAGAGCCGCATTTATTTGCGTCTGTGTGCGCTCTGGTCTGCTCGCGACTTACATCCTGCGCTGACTCAGTGAATTTTAATGTCTTTCTTAATGTCTTGGAAGCATCACCCTCAAGCGAGATGGTACGGAATCAATTTTGCCGTTACGTACGTTTATCTTACGTCAAAATTTCTATATGTGCTTTATTTCTAAAATTAAATACTTTAAATGACGATTGGTCGAATCTTCAAGAATCTCATTATTATAAAGAAATTATTTACGTTATATTGTAATGTTACTTCTATAAAAATACGAGTTGGAGGTATATTTTTTATCTTTCATTTTATTAGAAAACAATATGAGTCGAAAAAGTAAATACATGCGATTATCATTATCAATAGTGCCCTTCCCCCTTCTCTCTTTCTCTCGTTATTTAAACATTACTGTCAAGCCCAATATATATCAAATTGATAAAGCAATCGCTAAAAAGTGATACAATCATTCAAGTTCCAAGAGCCACATTTAATCGATTATATAATAAAATAAGGAAAGTTAACATTATACAAATAAGATCATAGATTTCGTCGCCGATAAAATAAGCAATCAATATTTACGATCGTATTTGCAAAGTGAATCAACGGAAATTTCAAGCTTCGATTAGTTAACAGTCATATCAATTGAATTGGAGGAGTAAGGTAGACCGATTTACTTAATTTTATCCGATTTATGTCTATCTTTGTCTAATTTGAAGAAAAAACAAAAACATTATATATATATGATTTAACTATTAGTTAATTTTTTAACAAATTAGAACAGCCTTACTTAATTTTTATCGTCTCGCGGTTATCGATAGTCTTCTAAACTTTATCGCATATCTGCCTCGAGAGTGGACCTTTTACTGAACGCGCAAACAATATCCGCGCCGCTTATCGCGCAGGGGGACAAAGTTAAGCAAACAGGTACTTAGATTTATCGAGGATCGATGGACTGCACGGACCGGCTGTAATTTGAATAACACTTGAGACGGAGCGTCGATCACGTTACGTTACAAAAATAATACACGTCACATATGTACGGTGCGCTAAGCCGCACCGAGATGTGTCACCTGTTTGTTAACATTTTTTTCCCCCGAGACCGATTACGCGAAGAGGACGGAAGAGGATTCTCGCCGACGTGACGGCGGTCTGGCGCGCGGAAAGTAAATGCCGGCGAAAAAAACGCCTCCGTCGGCGTTTGCGAGGATTCTTATCTAAATTTACTCCACAGATACGTTATAATTCGAGACACAGCGTGATGCACGTACGTATTTATATCTCGATCGTAGGTCAAGAGAACGGTTCCAGTAGCGACTGATCGCTCCGTGGTCACTAAATGAAGGTCAATGTTCACCGCTCGTTAATCATTAATAATCGTTGTTGAGAGACGTTGTTTCCGTTAATCAAAGGAAAACGCGTCATTCTCGTATTTATACGTTATAATTAATAACGAGGGAATAGTACGCGAGCGGAAAAGTTCGAACATATCTTTATTGCTGCGTACACTGTTAAATATTAAAGAAATTTGAACCAATACCTTGACTGAAATAACATTTTGTTATTTTGTAACTACTATGTGTGTCGAAATTTATTATTTCAACACAAACTATTGTTTTAACTCTATTGATTTAATTAAATTAACATTGCTTTAGTTAAATTAACGACATATTGAGTAGGAGCAGTGGCGATCTATATAGGGATAAAAATGGATAAAAATGACTGAAATTGAGTATAATTTGACTACGAATTTAACAGAGTGTAGGGCGTTCTAAAATCCTCCACTAATTTCGACGGTTCTTCGACTAAATTTCAGGGTCAATTTTACGATCTTTCGGGATTCCTCGTCCATAAGAATAACACATTCGTAAGTTTCGAGTAGAGGAAACCTTCTTCTTCCTAAATTAAAAAGGTTTCAAAGGCTATGAATTGTACGAAAAATTGTCATTTCTCGTACGCAGGAAGCGGTTTCCCTTCCCAAACTATTGCTCGAAATCGAAACATTAAAATCGGCAGTCCTAGAATATAAAATATTGGGCCATTCTGAGGTTTTACAGAGAAAAGGGAATTATATATATCGTTATTAATATATCCCCGCAATAGATATTCCAAGACAAGCAGCCTCAATTAGCAGCTTCAAGAGCGGAGAGGAGCGTCAAAACAGTTTTCATTTTCTAACGATCTCTCCACGCCCATGCATCGAGACTTTATCTGCGATTGTCGACGCAAATGCTGTTATTCAATATCTGCCGGTGAGCCGATGCCGGCTTACTGCACTTAAGTATACGTGCGAGAAGCGACGTTTGATCTCCGATGCATCGCGTCAGTCGCTGATACGGATAAGAGGCATTTACAAGTAAGCACTTGGCCGCGCCCTCCGGCGCTCTTCAAGGACAAGAAGGAAAGGGGAGAGAAAAGGGAGAGAACTCCTCGCGGAGATCCCGCGCCTGGTCCCGCCACTCCCGTCGCCGTTCCAAACAGTTCCAAAACCACTATTACGGCCGCATGAATTGACAGCTATAATTGCCGGTGATGAGCGCACATCAAAGACGGTTGGACGACGCGACGCGAAGACCCCGGGGCTCTCGGGTCTCCGACGCGCCAGGTCACGTGACGTCCCGTCCGTCTCACGCGCGGGATGAATGAGCTCGTTCTCCATTAAGAACGCGCGATTCTTTACGTTGCGGGGACGCGCTCAATTGAATTTATTGTACCTACGTGTGTATAAACCGTCCCGTTTGCCGCTGCGGTTTGCGAACAATCGCGCGATCGATAGTCGACGACGCTCCATCCGCCCTGTTACGCCCGCTCAAGATTCGACAATTTCTCCTCCTCCTCCTCTACCCCCTCGACGTTACAAAGTAGGACGTACTGTAGTTTATATATGCAAGATACCCGATATACGATCGGCAAAAATTCCATTAACATTAGAAATACCCGACGATTAATTTCTATTTAATACTAGAACAACCGCAATCTCGTCAAAATGACGGATTTCAAATCTCTCGTTTTAAGTTACAGAAATTATTAAGGTGCTTTTGTTGGGATTTATGTTAACTTTTATCGCGATAAAAAAATGATTTTATATGCCTATTTATTTTCCATTAACCGCTCTAACTTCAAAGTTCTGATATTTTCTTTTTTAAAAAAGGTGTATGAAGGAGGAAAGTAAATTGTTGAATTTAATCATTTAATGAGTCATTTCATAAGTAATGCGGTTTTTTAGAAATATTTTTGAAATAAAACACAAATAAAACAGACATTTCAATTTTAATTCAAAATATATTTTTCATTATTATTTACAACTTCTTTCTATCTTAATCTTAAATTTTCAATTCCCTGGCGATAAAAGTCTTTCAGTTTTGAACTAAAGAATAAATCAAGCTCCCTTGTATACTGCGTTATTTATAGAACGACTCAATAAATATTGCAGCAAAAGTCGTGGACAATTTCAGAAAATGCACCGTTATAAATTTGGATGATTTTTTTTTAAAAGATTACATATATTACTTTCACATCGACATTTAGTGTTAAAGACTAATATTTAAAGCCAAGAGAAGATACACGCCGTTCTGAGCGTTAGTCTGTAAAATCTACAAGTGACAGGACCCTAAACCCAAAGAGCAGCGAGAGTACAAATAACAATGTGTAATCATTTATTTTTTTTTTACAAGGAAATGTGCGAATCGATGACGAGATAAGATTCGTGCTCGGTCGAATTATCTATTTGGCAATACAGATAAACGGTGTCGTTAAAGTCCATTCGTATTACATAATGTATGCGATACAGAATAACAGTTCGATAAATGCAACTCGAAACTTCGTTCTTGTTTCGGTACGAAAAAAATAGAGGAAGACATAACGTGAAGGATTGTCTGACATAATAACAGTTTTATTTATTCCAATGCGTGTGTGCAAAAGATTGATTATATTACGAATCGATATACTTTGTTATTTAATGGACTATAAGATTCTTTGTCTGCCTTGCAGAATATCCATTTCAATAACAGTACTAAACGAGAAGTCTATTTTAAAATTACACAATCCATGCCACACTTCGGCGTCCAAATCTTTCGAGATCAGAGTTTGTGTAGCGAAAAGTGGGAACGTAGCATGTACACAGGTTTGGTTGATACAAAAAATTACGAGCAAAAGTTGATCAAATTATGTTGTAATTACTATAAGAACTAAGGTAATGATCGATTTCGCGACTTCGGCTCTCTCTCCATCTTTTGCCAACTGGCAATAGCTGGAAGTAAATATCTTTCGTGATATATCACAATCTATAAGACGCGACATTCAAGTTCTGAATAAATATGGAAAGCAATGACGAGAAAATCGCCGCACAAATCATCACCTTCCTGAAAGTTTTACATGTTGACTCCTGGGACAATCTGTATGTGTATACTTACTCAGTATTTGATCGGTTCAGCCATTATCGAAATTCGATAATCTAATTGGGTTTCTCAACTCGTCGGCTCACGTATAAATACACGCGTCTATGACTCGCTGCGCGGACACTACTGTCTCTTGATCTATTAAACTTTTATATGTTTCAGATACACATTTAATATGCAGAATACAAGTGTACGTACAGGTTGTCCCAGAATCTCCAACATTAATTTTAGTAAGAAATTGTTTGATAGACTTACAATTGAATTTAATTAGAACGTAAATCAAATTAGCATTTTCAGGTTAAAAAATCGACGAAATTGAAAAAAAACTTGTAAACATTATGCCGCAATTAAATGATAACACTTCACGCATTTAATTTTTTTTGGAATTTAACAGTGACGTTTTATTACTAAGAAGTTTGATTAGAAAGAAATTTAAGGGTACATATTGAAAAGTTGTAATAAATAGTAATCTCTCTCCAAACTTGTTGAAATGTTCTCAGGATCAATTTGTCAGAAATTTAGCATTAAAAGTAAGGTCGGAGATTTTTTAAGAATATTTTGTATCAGACACCTCACATTCTCACATATTTCCCATTTATTCTTGGAGCAATTATAATATATTCCAGGTTTAACAATAATTCTTTTTAATTTACGCGATCGAAAAGTCAGATTTTTACAAATATTTTAATACTATAAATAAAACAAGTTAATTCTACGTAAATTTTTTAAATTTATTTTTTAACTTTAAGAATTAGCTTGAGAATTAGTAATCTCAAGTTATGATTTAGACCTAATTATGAAAAAGTGCCTGGTGAATAATTTTAGATATCAGTTATTGCCTGAATTAATTTGAATTTTTTTAGATATCAAGTTGTGAAAAAAAATTATATTATTTTCACCGAGAAAACAAACAACGCTCCTAAAATATATCAAAAAAATCTGCTTACGTGCAAAAAGCTGGGTTATATCCCACGTAACATCTATATTTATAAATTAATAATAAATATTCTCACACACTAAATCTGGCAACGCAAAGGAGCTTAGATAAATGATTATTTATTTACATTATTTAGACGTCCTCTTGTAGACTGAGCGAGCCTAAATAAATTCGGGAACACTGTTACCGTTAAGTACAAGGCATTTCTATGCACGTGTGCGTGTGTTCGCTTATAATTTACATAGGCAGAACAATAATGGGATAAAAGCGCCAATGGCTACGAAAACAGGTAACATTATAGATGAGTCGTCTATCGAGTACGGGTCAGGTGTCCTAGGCCCACTCGTGTGTCTGCTACGCAAGGTAGTCTCCTCCTCCTCCTCTTGCATACCGTGATAGTCCTCCGGATCGGGCGGTATCGGTCCTAATTGCGGTACATCTGAGAAATACAGTGTATGCGTGAATACTTTATAACTAAATACTTTGTGAAAAAAATTCTTCTACATTAAAGCGAAGACAATACGAACCATCTAAAACGCCTTTCACAACAGCTATTGCATTTATTTTTGGATTGTCCCTATAGCCCTGTAAAATTACAAAATTAATGTATTCATATGCCATCGTATATAATACATAAAGATATATGCACATATGTTTATATACTACAAAATATATTAATCAACTCTACCTTTATAAACTCTACTCTTATCTTTCCTGCAAGAATGTCTGATTCTTCATCATTGTATATCAACTTTCCGCCCTGTACCCTGAAGGGAACATATTCGTCGTGCGCAACACCTCGCCCGACTCTCTCAAAGATGTCCAAATCGGTGACCACGGTATGATCGCCATTCAGCACAACGTCGAAGACCTGGAACAGAATTGTACATGAAACATTTGACGAAGGTAACAATTGTTTTCGACCAAGGATCAATCTGTCTAGTGAAGAAAACTCACCTTCATGTTCGGCGAGTTGAAGTACACCTCGCAGAACTTGAGTATCATAACGTAATTCCCATCCTGGCTGATCGGGATGTCGTAGCCGAAGGTGTTGTGGTGATAGCGCTCGGTCTGGTACAATATCTGGTCCACGTTGCTGATGCGCCCTATGATCAGCTGCTTGCCGTAATCGGAGGCCGTGCCGACCTTACCCAGGAGAGGATCCCTGACGTAGTGTATCCCATAGCTGTCCGTGTGCGCCTCGCCGCCGGCGTTGATCGCGTATATCACCTCGAGGCAGTACGAGCCGGGGACGAGCGCACCGAGCAGAAGCAACAGGGGAATCGGGAGGAGGCCATCGTTCCCCGTTGGCGACCGCATTCTCAGAGCAGTCGTGTCATTCGAGACCCTAAGATAAGATTCCAGCCGCCGTTCCCCGGCACGGCGCGCTCATAACTCGTCCCACCGCTTCTAATTGCCTTTGACGCTGCCGTTGTTGTTGTCCGGCACGCTTCGTGTCCGGGATCGCGTGGACTCGCATGGAATTATATGGAATCGCGAATTCCCGGCTTTATATCGCGCGCAATCGAACCCACATGGCACGGTGCGGCTTTAGCACTGGGCAGTGGGCGGCCGTATATACGTGGCTCGGTGCGGTGGCAGGGTGGCAGGGTGGCACTCCAAATACTCCAATACTGGTACCGCAACGTCCGCACTTCCGCAGTGTCCGCACTCCGCACCATTACCCGTTAGATCGCTGACTTACCGACGTGGCGCGAGGTAGCGGTTCGCGCGATGTCGAGATCGCTCTGTCGGGGGGCACTACCTTCTCGTATTTTCGCTTCAAAAACTTCAATAACAAAATAAATAACATAATAACATAACAAATATTTAGGAAAATTGCAGCAAGATGTAATTTAACTTAGAAACGATAAAAAAATAAAAATAGGAATAATAAGAACAAAAATGACTCGTTTAATAAGATGGAATAAGACAATAAGATAACAGAAACTATAAAGCTTATTATTAATTGTTTCTATATTTATCCCTAACACATATATGAATTTTCTCATACGTGAAAGGCCAAGCGGGGTAATAAATTACCCCAAACTTGTACCGCGTGTATAATGTTTCTATTTGTTATTAAAAAACTTTGTAATAGATAATTTTTTTTGCTCTTTAATAGGGAAGACGATAGTAGTCATCAGTTTCTGGTAGTAAAAAAAAAAAACAGTAAAAAAATTTCAAAAAACAAAACAAAAAATCAAAAATTTGGCTGAAATAACTTTTTTTTTTTAAATGCTGTAGTTTTTAATGAAATTCACCGATTTTACAAATTCCAACGGATTTTAAAAGACGAATAGACAACCTTCAAAGGCATGTAAGCGACTTTTTTGTTTCTTCAAAAAAACATTTCTTTGAACGTCTGAAGTAGAGGAAATGACGAAAAACTGTCGGATGGGAAAAATCGCAAGAAATGGATAGTAAAACAGATTCTGTCGATTATTATTTATTTGAAAGGTAGTCAAAAGTATATGGAAACAGTAAAATTAACTCGACAAAAACTTTACAAAGTTTTAATCAGTTTCTGTGCAAGAACAGCACAGGGTTATTCTATGCCCGTCACAAATTGCACGACGGCAGCGTTCACAATACGTTTTAACTTTTCTGTCGGCTGCCCTCGGACAAAAGCTACAGCGTGCAAGTTTTTTTGTATTTGGGGGATTCCTTGGTGGTGGTGCTTGAATCTCTACCATAGCCTCCATCGAGACACGCAAATCGCGACGGAGGTTCGGCACACACAGTCGTACCCGTAAGTGTGGTTCAATGAGACTTCTAACAAGTTGTTTCAAAAATTCTCTTCGAACCAGGTTTGGATTTTCAGTGTTGAAATTGTGCAAGATCAACGCGTTGATTCCTCCTTGATCGAGCATTCCGTACCAGAAACGCATAGGCCACCGAAGGGTGTTCCTTGCTGTGGTGTACTCGTGGCACATTTGATCGAAACAATCGGTACCTCCCTTGGTATCATTGTAAAATGATATAATGCTAGGCTTTAGCGTCTGCTGATCAACTTCTGCCTGCCAGTGCAAAGAAGACAAGAGCAACACAAATTTGTTTATCTTCGGTGTATATTTCACCAGCGTCTTTGTTCCATCGAAGAGAAATTGTGACGAATACACAGGGTCCGCAGCATGGAAGTGTTGAGGAATTTGACGTTTATTCTTTCTGAGTGCGCCTACCATCGTGATGGAATGTTGTGACAACATTCTATCGAAAATTTCTGTAGACGAGAACCAGTTGTCGCAAGTTATGTTACGCGAGGTTCCGTGCAGAGGTTCTGTCAATTTCCGAATGTAATAAGACGGTACGGTTTCAATGTTTTCTTTTTGAACTTTTCCCACGTACGGTTCTGCGGTGTACATGTAAAAAGTCCTCGAGTCATTGAGCATCACGATTTTAATGCCATATTTATCTGGTTTTGCACGGTGATAGACTTTGAAAGGGCATCGTCCTAGGAAAGAAATAAACTGTTCGTCAACAGTGCAATACGTGTCTGGACAATAAAAACTAGTACATTTAGAGATGAAATCCTCCCAAATCTCACGGATCGGTGCAAACTTGTCCGTCTCTCTACGTGTAGATCTTGTCGTTTTATCGTCGAAGCGAAGCATTTTCAGGAGAAATGTAAATCTGTTGCGTGACATCGTGCAGCGGTAAAGGACAGGCCCAAAGTCATGGGACCACATATCTTCTAATGGCGTACTTGCAGTTTTCTGTAGACCGGAAAGGTACAGAACTCCAATGAAAGCCTTCAGTTCACATAGGTCCACATCTGCATACGTCGCTTGTGAGACAGCCTCACTTTCCTTAGTGTCACGATACCGCTTTATTTCTTGATTGGTGTAATGAACCACTTTTTCCAATAACGCGTCACTAAATAGTAGAGACCATGCATCGAGCGGACTTCTCACGGATTTTGCTTCTCCGATGGGACCAGGTAAAAACGTTTTTACATTGCGCTGATGATCTGCTGGCCTCTCCCGCGCTGTGGTGTACCATTCATGTCCATCTTTTCCAAGATAGATGCTTCGTCTACGGTCACGTCTTGAACTTGCACGAAAAATAGGAAATCTTTTTCGCTTGTTGGTTGGAGGTCCAGCAGTATTTCCATCTTCACTCTGTAAATGAAATGTAAAGTAGTGTCCTAAACTTGAGCAGATATTTTTTGTTTTGAAAAGTTTTTGAATTATGCACGTTTTTTTGTTTATTGTTTCTTTATTTATTTATTTATTTAATATTAAATTGTATTATTTATTTATTTATATTGTATTTATATTGTATTATTTATGTGATATATTTATGTATCATATATATTATTGTATATTGTATTATATATATTTATATATTTATATTGTATTGTTCTGTTTATGTATATATTTTTTATTTATTTTTGATTATTTTTTATATATTTGTTATTTATTAGTTTTTTGATTGGAGTATATATTTTCTAGTACTTTTAACAATTTCGAGGGATTTTTTAATTAAATTTATCGAAATTTTCAGAATTCCAAAGTCAGGTTTTTTTGAAAATCTTTGGAAAGTTCCAGGAGTTTTCCAGGAGTTGGAAGTTCAAAGTTACAATTTCTAGAATTCCAAAATTTGGAAAATCAAATTATAAAATTCAAAATGAGAGGTAATTTTTTTCCAACAGTGGTGTATAAATTTTAAACAAAAAAAATATCTCTTACCTCTGACCCTTCTCTAACTTCAGTTTCTGTCGATGCTTCAAAAGGTTCATCTTCAATGTCCTCTTCCGATTCCGAGTCAGTCTGTAATTCTTCATTATCTTCTTCGCTATCTGAAGGCAAGTCGTCTGCCGCAATTCGCTCTTGTTGCATCAAATTATCATGTACACTAGTAACGCTGCGCGGTTGGTAAGGAGCAGACATTTTCTGTAAAAAATTCAATTTATGTACTGCTATACATACGCCAATCCATCCATCCAGTTATACAATGTAACAATTTGTATAACTAATATAAATAATGTATTTTGTATAACATATTGTATGCAATACAATTGTCAAATCAATTTCCTCAAGAGAGTTCGAATAATTTTTTCAAGTTCTGCAAGTTAAACTTTAACATTTTTTCGACAAATTGACGTTTGCTGGGTGAAAATACAGGAAAAGACAATTGTTGGTACACTTTGCGCGCTCTAACGTCAAGAATATGAACTGCACAATATTGCTATATGATTGATAATTGTGTAGAATGTTAAACTTAACATTTTTCGTTCATAAAGTTTAGCTCTACGGCCAACTGGAAACGAGATAAAACAATTCAAAATTTTTACAATGCTTTTTTTGTCAATAAAAATTTTTTTACACGAAAAACCTTTGAATACACGCTGAAAACGCCAAAACGAGTCATTTTCACAGAAAATCTGAAATATACTTACTGTGGTAAATGTCGAGCGTAAACGGCTGAGTGGGGGTAATACGTTACCCCAAACGATTTTCTTTTTCGGTCACAGCTGCTGCACGGATCTAACGCACTCGCTGAATGACGGAGGTCGACTGCCGGATGACTAAACTGAATTATGGTTAGGTCTCGGTATGCAAACGAACCTTCCTAAGTCAGGGGTGTAATTTGAATTTCGCGTGGGGTAACATATTACCCCACATATGCTTCCAGGATTAAGAAGTGGGAGGTTCGAAGGCTTCATCGGGGGGAGTAGTGGGACCCGGGGGTTCTGGTAACAGCGCACTAGCGTTTGAAAAGTAGTGGGATATATATAAACATATATTATATATATATATATATATATATATATATATATATAAAAGCAAATTGTAAGATTGTATCTCTTTTTCTGTACAATTTGTAAACTGCGGACCACGTGGCGTTGGCATTACCTTTTTTTTCTACAAATAAAAAGAAAAAATTCAGAAAATTCTGCAAGTCGGATATGGTCTCGGAAAGCCAAACTGCACAGTCATTTAAAGTAAATCGAGTTTAATATATTGTGGACATTTACTTTTTTACACATCACATACACCTAATATATAGTTCTACGAATAATAACATGACAAATATTTAGGAAAATTGGAGCAAGATGTAAAATTTAACTTTTAGAAACAATAAAAAAAATAAAAATAAAAATAATAAAAAAAAGAACTACTCGTTTAATATATAGCAATGGAATAAGACAATAAGATAACAGAAACTAAAGCTTGTTTCTATATTTATATTACTATAATGAAAAGAATTCAGGAAACCTCGTTAAATCCGATAAGATTTTTTTGTTCTTTTGTATTTCGAGGATCATGAAATTTTTATAAGCTTTAAAAGATGCAACTATCCTGCGATATATAGCGTATGAAATTTAAATTTTACTCTTTATACTTTCGTTTTGACTTTTTATCGTGACAGATCTCATCATATCGATTCGATAAACGACAGATACGCTGATAACAAGTCGTAATTTCATATTCGTCTCGCGACATTCAAGTGGAACTCAATTAAGGAAGAGGTGAAACAAACTCCTTTTTTTTACACTCCTGTATCGTTTTGATCGTCGAATTTGTTGCTATTTACAAACGACGGATTTATCTCGACCTGTAATTCACCGTTCAAAATAAATCCAGTCTTATTATATATATGTTACTATACTTATATACTCGAGGTCTCCGTTTATTTTTAGTGATAAGGAGCCTCAATGAAAATCTAAAATACCGCACGCTCGCGTAAGATATATTTATATACTAATATACTTCTTGCTTTTTGCGCAAAAAAAAAATCGAAACTTGGCTTTAAATTGTGCCAAGAACTTGTAAATTGTCAGGTAAGTAGGTACGTCACGGGACATACTGGCTACGGTCAACATGACGCTACAAATGCTTCGAAGCATTCCTCTTCTCTTTTCTTTCAATGAAGAAAGCAGGAGAAGAAGAACGCTCCAAAGCATGTAGAGTCACGTTGACCATAGCCACTATCGCAGGAATAGATCCTCGACAAATTGCAGTTACAAATTTTTTGTGCAATTCAACTTTCGTTGAGCAAAAACATGAAAATATTTTTTGAAATCCAAATGACTATGAAAAACGAGCGACCTTTCTGTAAAGCAAAAATAAATAAATTATTACTTTTCGTTTAATTTCAATGTTTGGGTCTCGCTTTAGTAAAATCTTAATTTAGAACTTGGTCATTGGAGGTCAACTTAATATTAAAAATGATGATATATTAAGGAAGAGACAGCACGGAACTGTGAATTTTTATTAAGGACAACGACTTCGATCGAACAAACTTAAAATAGTCATACACAATCCACTTTCCATTTTCCGAACGATCAAGGAATTCGACTTCGGCTTTCATTGAAACGAAGGTTGAAGATTCCGGAACACCCTATATATTACTGGGGAAAAAAAGGACGAGGCCGTCTAAACATGATCAACCAGCGAGCGAGAGAAAGAGAGAATACGAGGTCGAAATGATGGTGCTTCTTTGTGCCAAAATAAACGAAAGATTTTAGTACGAAGAAAATTACAGTACCAACATTTACGATAAAGATCTCGACGTATCGGACATGAAATCGTGTATTAGTAAGTTGAAATAATCGAGGCTGTCGGTAGATGTTTTTCATATTGATATTGTAATATTTTAAATAAACCACAAATCTTTCGCTGATGACGAAGAATAGGAAGTTCCGATGAATCTGACAAGATGAAAAATATCGATAAAATGATGCAGTAGTTTTAGGAAAGTGTTCGAAGATTTAAATGTGTAGAACGTTGAAGAAAAAGGCGAGACAAAAGAGAAAAGAGAACGATATCTATACAAACAGATATACAAAAGAAAATATACTACAAGTACCATTTTTCAAATATATTGTCTTCTTTGTTGTGCATTGCAATAAATTATTTTCTTTTCTAAATAGATTCTACCTTTTTCAAGATTTTGTATAATACATTATTCCAAGTTTCAAGAGAACTGTTCAACTAATCCTCACGAAACCCGCCAAACTCAGAAATCTTTCGTAAATGTTTAAATACGATTCTTGAAATATTAATAGAAACGCTCGATGTCGCCGAGAAATTTATCCATCCAGGTTTCGTTCGTGAAAGCTGAGCTCTAGAACTTGCGTCTCGGCTTACGTTACGCGCGAAAAGCAAGAAAAGATTATCTAATCGGTTCTTCGCTCGAAAAAAATCACAAATGATTAAAATATTTTAACCGAAATGCTAATGTAAGACCGGCCCTTCGTTCTTTCTCTTTCTCAACTCTCTGTACAGAATGCTGAAAAAATGCTGGCCTACACTCCTCTCGCCGTTTCAGGTACTATAACGCTCCGAGGGGACTGAGGGGAGGCACGAGGCCCATTGTTGTCTCGCAGCTTCCTCGGTGACCCAAGCCGGCGACCGGCGACCGGCGACCGTTATTGCGGTGCCCGACGCATCTGGCTCGGGGTCTGGCCTAGCAACACACACCTTGCCGGCGAAAAACGCGTTGCCGACGATCGTCAAACGCAGACGCAGGCTTCCTGAAATATTTAAGTTTCCGCGGATTTCACGTACGTGGCAAAAAATGCGCGAGCGCTGATTAAATAAATAACAATGACTTGGCGTTATTCTCTTTCGTTATTATACATAGTTTCTCTGCTATAGTCTCTCTTGCGCGTCGACACGGAAAGAAAGTTAGAATAGCAAATTAATATTTTCTCATTCTTGCACGTTTCGTATTTCTTTTTAACTTTTTTTAATAGAGAGAGTCGGAGTGAAAAAAACGTGACATTTCTTTATTCCTTTTTCTCCGTTCTTTTCTCTTTTTCTATTTCTTTAGGATATGCTATCGACATAACGTATAGATTTACAGATATTACGTCAGAGACATATAATGTCAGATAAATGTCAATTAAAAGCAGCTTTCCGAGATAAGTACGAACGATAGGAGTGATAATTACAAGAATTGCTCGAATTACTGCTATTATGGGATTCGTAATTGTCGAGAAACGAGATACCGTGATTGCTTCCCGTAACGATCGAGCCGAATGCAAAAATTTCCCGTTATCCCGCTTTCGCCGTTGGAAAAAGGAGGACGACACGAGGCAGGACACACGGTCTCACGTGTCCCGACGTGTTCTTCTTGCGCTACGCTCGTCTTTTTCCACACACACGTCTCCGGCACGAATTTTACCATCTCTAACCCGCGTGGCGATAAACGTCCGGACACCTTGGGGAGCGCCACGTGGTCGAGTTAAATCGCTATCGATCGCGTAAATCGCGCTTCCTCCCTTTTCTTCTTTCGCAGCGCACGGATGTAAACCCGTGCGACACACGTGTCGCGTGTCATTGGAGGCGCAATTTCGCCGCGTGTGCGAACGTCAATGCCGCTCTACCCTACAAATAAAGGAGAGATAAGTACGTGACTCAACGTAGAATTTTTTCGGAGCTCGCCCATGCGTCTAAAATGGGCGGGGTTAAACCAACAGCACGCTGTTGGAATCAGAAAATCTTGATATAATTTTATATGTTCAATCTTAACATTTTGTTTTCACGTGTGATCCAATTAAAATGTATTTAATCGTGATACAACGCTTTATTAAAGTGGAGCATGACAAATCCCAGATATTATTACTACAAATCCTAGACAAACTCAACGTTTTCTTTTTACAATTTCTCTACGTCTACCGTCGTAGCTCACAAATACAATTTGTCATTGTAGCTTCAGTAAATATAATTATAATTATCCACGACTAACCGGAGCTCTCAGCTGAAATTTAATAAAGTAACAATTTTATATGTATAAAAAAATCGCTTTAGTACAAAAAAAAAGACAATTTCTACAGTGTAGACATCGATTCGTTTACGGCGATCGCGGAGGGAACCCAGCGTGAAAAATCGAAACTCTCGTACGTTCCATCTCGGTCGTGCTGAAACTCTCTCGCGATTTTTCGGAGCCACGCGAGCCTCCCGTTACGCCGCGCCGCGCGAAAACGCAACGAAACTTTCCGCTCGTAACGCGACAATTACAAGCTAGCAATCACGGTCATGAGTCATCCTACGATCGGGCTCGTAATCGTGAGACTCGATCGCCGCGGGCAAAAGCCACGAGACGAGGAAGCCCTCCGTCGATGGTCGAACGACCGAACGACGCCCGTGGCGTCGGAATGACGCGACGCGATCCGCAACGACGAAATCTCTCGTATCGTCCCCCGGGAAAAAGTGAGAAAACCAAGGACGATCGATCCATCGACCGGTCACCGGGCACACGCGCGAATTCCGCGGAAACCTTGAAACGCGCGTTCCTGATAAAAATTTCCACCTTCCGGTCGCGCGAGCGCACCGGTAGTTTCTAGAATTTACTCGCGTCCGCGAGAACGCCTCTCCCCGACGTCCCTCCCCCCGCTCTCCCCCCCCCACCCACGTGCAGACTTTCAGCCGGAAGTTGAAACCGCGTGGGCGAGTGACCCTTCTCTCACCCCGCATTTTCACACCGATCGATCGATCGACGATCGCGGCCGCGCGATCGTGAATTGAAAACAATCCGGCGAACCTCGCGGCAGAAACTCCGGGAGACTCGCGCGAACTTCAGGGACGTCGTCGCGCGATCGATATACGTGACGTACGCGGTACGCGACGCCTACACGGTCGTTCGGTTGACCTCGGCGGTGCGGCGACGCTTCTCGACGTTCTCGACCAATCGCGCGGCTGCCCGAACGGAAGCCGGCGGCGCGATTCGCCAGCGCGCGGCCCTGCGTAGACGGAACGTTCCAGAAGCTTCCCGCATCGGGCTTCCCGTCTATATATAGGGGAGCAGGGGCACGGGCTCGTCACTAACGTTGCGAATCGTGACACGAGGAACTTCTTCGTTTGTTCTAATACTAGCGAATTTTTACGAGAGTTCTCCGGAACAACTTTGAACAAGGTACGATTCGTCGAGTTTCCTTCTTTTCTTTTGCGACGAGCGAGAAAACGCGAGACGCGCGAGCGATAACCTCGTCTGTCGTATAACCTCGTTCCTCAACGGAGATCGTTCACGTTTACCTTGCAGAAACCAGAGGGAAAAAAAATGGCCGCGAAAGCACCCGCAGTCGGTATCGATCTTGGCACGACCTATTCCTGCGTCGGCGTCTTCCAGCACGGCAAGGTCGAGATCATCGCCAACGACCAGGGTAACCGCACGACGCCCAGCTATGTGGCCTTCACGGAGACCGAGCGTCTCATCGGGGACGCCGCCAAGAACCAGGTCGCCATGAATCCCAACAACACCATTTTCGGTAAGTTCGCGCCTCCTTCTCACACCCGCTTTACAAATGGTTCTCTTCGCGTTTCGCGTTCATTATCCGTATTAGGACGCGCGGTGCTGTCGTTCGTAATTTTCAGGCCTTTTAGTTTCAGTTTCTCAATTAATTTTGTTAAACCGATATCACGCGGGTCCGAGTGAATCTCGGGGGTTGGGTGTTCCGTGTACCCACGTACCGATATTACCGATTACCGTCGGTGCGCGTCAAGTGTGTCGTTGCGCAAGTTTTATGGGATATTAAATACCTGCGCATGACGGTCAACGACACCATGAGGTCATGGGCGGGTGCGGGTACGGGAATACAGCCCGCGGGAACTGTTGTGCAATCCCGGGAGAAGCGGTCGATCGTTTGGCTACTCCCGCTCGAAATCGCGCGTCATCCCGTACAACAGTTTTAATTGTGTTCCGAAATTAGATTCGTGACTCGGCGAGTTTCTCAAGACGCGGCGATCTTAGATCGCGTCACTCGCTGATATCGGCTATATGTCGGGCTGTCTTTCTACATAGACCGCGCGCGTGCGTGCGTGCGTGTGTCGAGAGCTTATCTCTTCACGCCCAAGATCGATATTTATACATAAATAAAATTTAAAATGATATCTGAAAGGTTTATCCGCGCTTACAAATTATCTGTGATGTTGAGTCTTATAATTGTGCTATTGCTGAGGAGAGTATCAACGTGCATATCCGATAAATTAGTAGCAATTCGTAATTGGTTGAACCGAATAAGAAATATAAATAATAAAGGTCAAAATGTAACTAGGAAAGTGAAAAATAAATCTAAATACAAATTTCCCAAATAAATAAATAAAAAGGTACTGTAGTTTGTATCAAATATTAACGTACATATTTAATGAAGTAAATTCATTACTGATTGAAACAAGTAAAAAATATAAATAAATTGAAATATATTTCTCAAATACATAAATGTAAATCATAATTTGCATAAAATATTAACATGTTTGATAAATACTGAGATTTATGAAATATAAGCAAGAAATATAAATAAATTTAAATCATTTCTTAAATAAATAAATTTTAATATATTATTACATTGTTTATATTTTTCCTCGATCACATTTTATATAAAATATTTCCTTGGAAGTGTTCAATTTACTTACTGTATTTTTTTTTATTTTTGATTAATTAGATGCCAAGAGGTTGATTGGACGTCGCTTCGAGGACCCGACCATCCAGGCCGACATGAAGCACTGGCCCTTCACCGTGGTAAACGACAGTGGCAAGCCAAAGATCCAAGTACAATACAAAGGAGAGACGAAGACTTTCTTCCCTGAAGAAGTGAGTTCGATGGTCTTGGTAAAAATGAAGGAGACCGCAGAGGCGTACCTAGGCAAGACTGTCACGAATGCTGTGATCACCGTCCCCGCTTACTTCAACGACTCGCAGCGTCAGGCAACCAAGGACGCTGGTACCATCTCGGGCTTGAACGTATTACGTATCATCAACGAGCCCACCGCCGCCGCGATCGCGTACGGTCTCGACAAGAAGGCCACCGGCGAGCGTAACGTCCTGATCTTCGATCTCGGTGGTGGCACGTTCGACGTGTCCATCCTGACCATCGAAGATGGTATTTTCGAGGTCAAGTCCACAGCCGGTGACACCCATCTCGGTGGTGAGGACTTCGACAACCGTATGGTCAATCACTTCGTTCAGGAGTTCAAGCGCAAGTACAAGAAGGATTTGACCTCGAACAAACGCGCCCTTCGTCGTCTGCGCACGGCCTGTGAGCGCGCGAAGCGTACTCTGTCATCCTCCACGCAGGCCAGCATTGAGATCGACTCGTTGTACGAGGGAATTGATTTCTATACCTCCATTACCCGCGCTCGTTTCGAGGAACTCTGCGCCGATCTCTTCCGCGGTACTCTTGAACCCGTCGAGAAGTCGCTGCGCGACGCCAAGATGGACAAGGCACAGATCCACGATATCGTCTTGGTCGGTGGCTCCACGCGCATCCCCAAGATTCAGAAGCTCCTGCAGGACTTCTTCAATGGCAAGGAGCTCAACAAGTCCATCAATCCCGACGAGGCTGTGGCATACGGTGCGGCCGTACAGGCGGCTATCTTGCACGGTGACAAATCCGAAGAGGTGCAAGACTTGCTTCTGCTTGACGTCACTCCGCTCTCTCTGGGTATCGAGACTGCCGGCGGTGTCATGACCGCGCTCATCAAGAGGAACACCACCATTCCGACGAAGCAGACTCAGACCTTTACAACCTACGCCGACAATCAACCTGGCGTGTTGATTCAAGTGTACGAGGGTGAGCGTGCCATGACTAAGGACAACAATCTGCTGGGCAAATTCGAGCTTAGCGGTATCCCCCCAGCACCTCGTGGAGTTCCTCAGATCGAGGTTACCTTCGACATCGACGCGAACGGTATTCTCAACGTCTCCGCCGTGGACAAGTCCACTGGCAAGGAGAACAAGATCACCATTACCAACGACAAGGGTCGACTCAGCAAGGAGGATATTGAGAGGATGGTGAACGAGGCGGAGAGGTACCGCACCGAGGACGAGAAACAAAAGGAGACGATCGCGGCCAAGAACGGCCTCGAATCTTACTGCTTCAACATGAAGAGCACAGTCGAGGACGAGAAGCTTAAGGACAAGATCAGCGCGTCGGACAAGCAAACGATCCTGGACAAGTGCAACGATATCATCAAGTGGCTCGACGCGAACCAGCTGGCCGACAAGGAGGAATACGAGCACAAGCAGAAGGAACTCGAGGGCATCTGCAACCCCATCGTTACGAAGCTCTACCAGGGTGCCGGCGGTATGCCTGGTGGCATGCCCGGTGGATTCCCTGGAGCTGGCGGCGCCGCTCCCGGCGGAGCGCCCAGCGGCGGCGGTGCATCTGGTCCTACCATCGAGGAGGTCGACTAAAGAGAATCGTCCCTGTCTCGCCACTGCCCATCATCGCGGTCACTCTCCACCACTACGCATTCCTTGCGCGAATATCGAATACCGCGAATACCGAAAAAAAAGAAGCGAATAGGTATGAGGACAAAAAAAAGGAACGAATAGGTAAAGGACAAAAAAAAGAAACGAATAAAACGAAAAAAAAAAAGGGTAATCCACCACTACGCATTCCTTGCGCGAATATCGAATACCGCGAATACCGAAAAAAACAATACCGAGAAAACCAAAAAAAAAGAAAACCGCGAATACCAAAAAAAAAACACCGAAAATACCAAAAAAAAAAGAATACCGCGAATACCGAAAAAAAAAGAATACCGTGAATACCGAAAAAAAAGAATACCGCGAATACCGAAAAAAAAGAAACGAATAAACGAACATAGAACTATTACTGCGGTCTTTGCTCTAATCATTCCTTACGTACGTTTCCCTTAGCGTCGTCTTTTAAAAGAGTTCCTTTATTTCGCCATTTTCTATTTTGAAGTAAATGTAATTCTTTTATTAATTCATTTTATCGTCGTACTGTAATTACGGTTTATTCTCGAGATCTGTTGTTAATCTTCTATGTTCCAGACTTCGTAAATATAGAGCGATTACCAAAATTGAATGTTGCATTCTTCCTTTATCCCGATAGTAAACCCATAGAATAGTATAATTTAATTTAATTGAAACTTGTAACATGCATGAATGATACGAACAGTACTTCAACGCGATTATAAAATGCTAATTCTTTATTTCATGTTTAACATTCATAACAATACTAAATAATGAAAAAGAAGATAAATAAAAATTTGAATTTTCTCCAATCTTGTCTGCGTCCAACTTTTTTGCTTTAATTCATGTCAATTCAGTAAGTGAATGAGAATAATTTTTTTTTAAATCTTATCTAATGAAATAATTTAATGTTAGAGGTAAAGGATGTGAGGATAGAAAGGATATAAATTAATAATTGCATAGATCTTGCAATTAAATAGAGAAAATGCCATGATCGAGCTGGATTTTAGTAGCGTAATAAAGATATTTCTATGACTTTTGTAAATTTTTCCAACTTGGCAAACCGCGCCGACCGAAGACGACATCTTCTCTCATTTAATTGTAAAATTTATATCGGTACAATTTGACTTATAATTGTATAAAGTAAAATTTAATTCATGAGCACAATATGTGAGAACCTTGGCAAATAATTTTTTTTTGTTACTTTTTCTATGGCAAATTATTACAATTTCAGTATAGAGAAATAAAGACATTCAATACGTAAGCCGTACGTATCTTTAGTACGTCAAACAATGGTGGCAAGAGCTGTAAATGAAATCAAATTTTCTACGATTTACCCAATGAAATTACCATTACGCATAGCGCACGTGGAATATAATAAAAATATGACATGCGATAATACATAATTATAAAGAATAACCAGATGTCATACCAGTTGTAAACAGCACGGTTCCTTTCCCTTTCTTTTTCTTCTTTTTCTTGCCAGATGCATTACCTTCATCTTTTGCTTCTGAAAACAACGAGAAAACAATTAGATAAGCGATAAAAAAAATCCTGTACTTGTGATGCTAGATAATTTATTTGATTTCAATATGCGATCAGGGCAATGCGACTTACCTTCAGAAACGTACGGTTTTTTTTCGTCTTCGTTAAACGAGGTACCTGGTGTATCGGAGCACATCCTTGGTTTAACAGACGGCCAAGCATTGGTAGACTTGTACATCCTTGTCGACAATACTTCTTCGTCCTTGTTGGACCATGCATTCATCGTACTGGAGTGCGTCTTCGATTTCACGACCGGCCATGCATTGACTGGCTTATTAGACATCTTTGTCGGCATTGTGGATGTCTTCGCTATGTCAGCGAATGTCCGGGTCTGTTCACGCGAATAATCCGTTTCTTGTTTTGGAGCAATTTCGTCAAACGCACTCGAAGCTGGACTACTAGCGACACTCGACATGACCGATTCTGATGGTGACAATGGGTTCTCGCTGTATCAGAACATAAATAAAATGATAATTTCTGTATGTTAATGAATGCAATATGTATAAAACTTAAATAGAATATCGATAAAATAAAGATAACGAATACGCTTACTTGGACAATTGTAGCTCTGCTTGCAATTGCGGAAAATGTTGATAAGATTCGATATCTATGTTGGGCGTTGGATATATACCAATTTGTCTATTTTCTTCTTCTATTATCTTTTTCTCCCTTTTTCTTTCCTCGCGTGCTCTCTGTTCTCTGTACTTCTGTCTTGAATTTAGTTGTTCTAATGATAAAAAAAAATAAAATGTGTCAACAATTGAATAAATAATGCCGCATGTCTATAATATAAATCATAAAACGACAGTAAAAAAAGATTATAAATAATTACCATGGAAAGCGCGAAGAACTTCCTCCGATACTAGTGGTGGTTTTAATTCGATTTCAGCCAGTTCGAATGGACAAGTAAGTGGCAAATGGCAAAGATATCGTAATCTTCGTCTTAATTCTTCCGTACAGATGCCTGCTTCCTTTTCGAGAAGCTTGCCCGTTATTATATGAGGACAGTACTCCAGACTGCCATACTGCATTTCCAGCATTTTCACATTCGCCGCGTGTAGATATATATGTTGTCCATCTTCCGCTAAAAAGATATTAATACATTATTTTTATCTCTGAAATAGCACAAAAGATTTTAAATATTGAACTTTTTGCAATTCGTGAGATTACTTACCTTGATAAAAGTAAGAAAATTTAGAAGGACTCGAAGCAGTCTGGCTATCACTAGAAACACTGTCCGTCGAAGACTGCTTCGCTAAAGACTTATCATCATCCTTGAAACACATATCGATATTTATTTCATATTTTTGCGATGTATCTTCAGCAATTTCTTTTTCCGTTATATTTTCGGTCAATACAGCTTCTTTAGATTCTGCAGTCTTAAATACATTTCATATTTTTCGTTATTCTGTTATAATAAATACATAATTACACACAGTTATTATTACCTTCCACAGTTCTTTCCTCTTCGATAGTTCATTGAACGCTTGCTCGATGTCAAGAGCCATGTCTGGATTGTTCTTAAGCTCAAGTTTCAATTCCGAATGTTCGCACTCTATGATATTCATAATCTGAAGACAATTTTAATCCACGATTACTCTTGCATCACATAATACATTGAGTTCTTTTATGTGAACTTACATCTTTCACATTTGCGATAAGGAGTTTCGAATATACTTGATTACCAGTATTCTCCGAAACAGACAAAAACGTTGTCGGTTGAATAGCAGATTTTACAGGCGTTGCGAACAAGGAATTCTTTTCGCGACGCATCAAACGTAGATTGACCGTTTCGCCCAAATTGAGTGTGTTCCGCGTAATCTCGATCACGCTAAAAAATATACATACGCAATTAAAATATTTTCATAAACATTTCACTACTCAGTACGTATTTATTACAATTTTACACGATTTTACCTTTTTAAATCACATTTCTGAAGACGTTCATGGCAAATCGGACATATGTAATTTTCTGGTTTTTCACAATAACGTAAATAACGGAGAATACACGGCCAACAATAAACATGACCACAGCGAGTTATTTTTCCCGCGATTGGTGGATGTAAACAAATAGGACAAGAGAGATTTTCTGAATTATGCAATATCTGTAAATAAATTAAATCAAATTTATATATTTGATATATAATTCACTTGTGTATCATAAAATATACAAGCAAATCTTGCAAGAAACTTTAGCAATAAAAAAATTGCTAATTTGTAATTGAAGAAAACACTTACAATCTGTTCAATCGATTGCCAATCCACAAGAGTATCAGGGTTAGTCAAATGCAAGGAATAATCTCCGCTTGCAGTCACAACAAATTGGCAGCTACCGATATGCATAAAAATATATAAAAGTATATAATATTTCTAATACACAGTTTTAAAATTATCTTTATATTAATATCCAATAAACTGTTCAGACCAAGTAGTTTTAAATATTCCTTGAGTACTTAATTTGCATTGAAATGACTAAGACAGATCAAGTTTCAGGATTCTACTTAAGAAATATTAAATAAAACATAACGCAATGCTTTGCATAGAATAGTCCTACTGATGAGCAATGCTGTTGTCCAAGATAGATAATCTTTTGATTCAAATAAAGAAGCTAATAGATTTATATAATATATATATCTCGGACAGATTTTATAGACACTGAATTAACTGTGGATACTCTAAACTTTAAACAATAGTAAAGCAAATGTGATATTCCAAATAATATCCTAAACATTCAAGTATTCATAATACCTGCAAATCTATATAAAATAATGATAGATATTAGGATGTAGATAGTGACATTTATATTGTATTATTACTACCTAGCTTGCACAAATTGCTCCTTGTTGTATTTATGCCGCTGCACCGGTGGCAACACTCTATTGCTGTTGGAACCATGTCTCCCTACATCCCTGTTCTGTGCATCTCGCAACATATGTCGCTCGTAGTGAAAATTCAGCAAGTGATTGCCGTTCTTTTTGCTTCTCTGTACCAATACTGAGCCATACTCAGGTAACTTCTCCTCCACTACCTATAGATATAAAAGTTACATAATGTACATACAAATATAACAATTTCAATAAAAATAAACTCGAAAGAAGCAGAGGAGCGTAATTTATATGCAGAACCGACCTTGGGATTCTCCTCTGCACCGCCATGATATTGTCCTTTAGGTCTCTGTCTCTTAACAAGATCTTTTGCTTTCTGTACATTGTACTTTGTTGGTTGTACATTGTTAGCGAAGTTATTGGCGCCGGCAAGTTCTCTTCTGCGCAAAGCTCCCAGATGGAGCTCGTTTTTGACATCTGGAAAGGACACGCGACATTAGGGTAACCATACGCGAGCGACACACACAAGGCGTACGAATGACAGCTCGTAAACTTTGAACTCGGGGATTCTAGACGAGTGACCTTGAGCAACGCACCTTTGTTCCTTCTCGCATCAGCAGCAGTCCCCCTCGCAGGGGACAGCGTGTACTTTGACTTTGTATCCATTTGCGTATCGACTGTAGTCAGTCTGGTGACTCGTCTCGTCGCAGCTGCGGTCTCCTCCGTCTCCTCTCCTCGGAGAAATGTTATCTTTTCGCGCACCCTTCATCTTCTTCAATAAGCCATGTTTCGTCAGTGCCAAAGTAGTAAAATGTGTCTCGATGTGACAACGGTCGGCAGGCGATGCGGTGGCTGCACAGGGAGCGGACGCGAACAGCGATGAGCGTGACGCTCGTTCTCCAGGGAGAGCAGTCGGCCTCCCCTTTCGTCGCGGGCGACGGCGACGATCTCCAGGCCCTTAACCTTAAATGACGGTCACGACTCCGTGGTCACGACCCAAATGGCGAACGTAACCGTCGGTTACCGTCCACGGAAGTCGGAAACGGAAGTGCTGGCAGGTAGGACGCGGTGTCGCGACACCCACGTGATTGGACCATCGTGTCCGTCACCGTGTCCTTTAAATACACCGAAAATTCGTTTGAAACGAGATATTCCATTTTCCGAGGCAGTTATCCTGCCCCCTCGATCGCAAACGGCCGTTTCTATATCGGGATGTAGTAACGGGTCTTGATTTTTGAAGTTGTTTTGACTTCAGTCGAATGTCCAAGGCAGTCCAAGGGTAGGATGTGCAACTGGGGAAAACACTATCGAGCGAAGAATTGCAAAAAGAGTCAGCCGCACCGTTCGTTTTCGTCAAGCACAAGGCAGTCTTTAGATAAATATCGTTCTCGCATATGGAGCTATATTTTATTTTCATACGCGCCATTTAATAATTAAATATTAATCGGATTTTAATACCACTTGATTGTCGAATATTAATTTGTTCGACTCGCGTATGTTCCGAGTGCTATTATTCGAGCGTGTCAATTTGCAAAAAATAACATCCTAGAGTCATTTCGCGTGGCAGCCAGAAATCTATAAACCCCACGTCGCCGATTGGCCGATTCTCGGGACACCAGGACCTTCCGATTGTTCGGTCCCAGTGGAAAAACCCCAAGCACCGGTCGCCGTGAGTGGCTGCGGTCGATAGCAGCTGATAGCAGCGTAGTCAAACGAGACGTCGACGTCGACTCCCGGTGAATAGACGTATACGTACACACACGTGGCCGACATTGTGCGCCGTTGTTTCGCGTAATTCCTTCACGAGCAGTGAAAAGACACGGCAGTCGCGTTCGCCTCGAGAATCTCGAGATCCGCCATCCGCCTCGGCGTCTGGGAACGTCCGGGAACATCCCCGGGCACGTGTGGTCGCGAGCCGACCAAGTCCTAGCTACTCGTTAAAGGCAATCGCGCTCGGCCGCGGCCGCGGGTGAAACCGTCTTCGACGAGGTCCAGGTCTCGGCGGTTCGTTCGCCTCGACCGTCTCGACGTCCTCGACGATGGCAGATATGCCAGCGAACGTGAGCGTCACGCGAAAAATGTCCTTCGGCATCAACGGCAAGCTCAACGGCGTCGAGAGCAAGACTCCTTTTCTGATAGGCGTCTCCGGCGGCACCGCGAGTGGCAAGGTATGTCCTTACATCCGTGCGTGGAATTAATCTGCAATTATATCCTGAGAACAGCTGATCGATTGTCAAGACGAGCACGAGTTATACGAGTTTTTTTTTTAGAAATTCACAGAGCCTGCTTGTTTCTTGTATTTCTTACTTTATCTACGTCATTTTATGTTGTTTGGCATTCCGTAGAATAAACAGATACGTTTTAATTAATATTTTTAACTTCTGCATGGTTTTTTTTTGTAGCAACTACCCTGGTGGAAAAATATGTCTCGAATTTGTCATATTTTTAATCAGAATTTCTATACAGATTTTAAGGCTTTCTCAAAAATGCTCAGAATTTTTTTATATGAACTGGAACATTTTTCAGAAAAAATCAGACAAAATAAAATATTTCACATTTTTCTCTCGTCAATGCATCTTTGTAAAAAATCTCTGAATAAATATAGGAAATCTGTGAAATATATCAGAAATTTTTATACATATGGATACTAAAAAATATCTTTGTTCAATTATTTCTAAAAGTATTGGAGAAATTTTATATATTTTTTCAGAATTTTTCCTAAGTCTTAATTCTTACAAAATTTCAGAGAAATTTTTTTCACCAGGGTTCAAACGTTTCTGCAACCGATAGATATTCTTTTCGTACAATTGTATTGAGAAACAAAATGTTAATTTGATCTTGTACAAACAGTGAATAGGTTGCAATCATTATGGAGTTAATGATTCACAAAGAACAGAATTGAAGTAGTCACGGTTTATGCTTTATGTAATTGTTACAAAGATTAATAAAAATGGTCAGGTAGTCTGATCATATGTACTGACGGGTTACATTTGTTTTAGTCTACGGTGTGCAAGCGTATAATGGAAAAACTAGGGCAAGTCGACATGGATCACCAAAAACGTCGAGTGGTGTGCATATCACAGGACAGCTTCTACCGTGACCTGATGCCCGCTGAGAAACTGAAAGCTGAGAAGGGACAGTACAATTTCGATCATCCCGATGCCTTCGACGATGACCTGATTTTGCAAACGCTGCAGGATATACTTGCTGGTGTCAAGTGTGAAATACCAGCTTATGATTATAGGACAAACAGTTTGTACGTATCACACTTTAATATTTAGCTAAAAATTATCTTTGCGTTTAAGATTGCCAATAATGCGACCATTAATGGAAATAAAAGAGCTGTAATTGCGTAGTAACTAAGATACAGCGACTTAAAAGATGTTTATGAACAGCATATCTCACGAATTGCAAAAATTTACTAAAAAATGAATTTGTGATCTCGTTTCAGAATGAAGGATCAAGTTACCACGATATATCCCGCTGATGTAGTACTGTTTGAAGGAATACTGGTATTTTATTTTCCCAAGATCCGGGATTTGTTTCACATGAAATTGTTCGTGGATACCGACTCTGACACCAGACTTGCAAGGAGAGGTAAATTTGCGTATAATTTGAATATCACTTGTCACTTCCTTGTATCGCAACTTACCGCAACGTTGTTGATGTCTTCAGTGCCAAGAGATATAAAGGAACGTGGAAGGGATTTGGATTACGTCCTGAATCAATACATGAACTTTGTAAAACCAGCTTTCGAGGAGTTTTGCTTGCCAACAAAAAAGTTTGCGGATGTTATAATACCTAGGGGTGCGGATAACACAGGTAATACATTATCATATGCATAATAAATATTTTTATTGCAGCTATCGCTATGTATAATTATTTGATAATGTCGCTTAATATTTATTAATCGATTTATTGTTTGTGAATTTAGTGTGTTCGTCAGATATGTTATAAAAATTTTTGATCTTTTTTTCTCGGTTTGTAATATAATTTATATTATTTTACCTATAAAACTCACGTTGGATTATAATCTTAATCAATATATATTTTTTCAAGTTTTCTTTCTGATAAATTAGCTCATAATGGTAAAAATGGTTTTATTACTATAATTTTACTGTTATCACTGGTTCATGATATGTGCAAAGCATTCCAGAACTGTTCTCTCTTTTTTCTCGTGTGTGGATACTAAAAAATAAAAGAATAAACAGTAGTGAAAAGAAATTAAGAAGAAAATATTTTAATGATTAAAATATTTTCTTTGGACTTGAATAGTCCAAAGATTCATTCTCTATGAATTATTAATTCATATTTTTTATATATTTTATATATATTGCTTTGATTTTGCTTTTTATATTTTGATTATACATTTTACTTTGATTTTAATTTGAGCGTTTATAAAAATGTTTAATGTTGCAAATTGAATATATTTTAACCTCTACAGGACCGGCCCCTTTTTGGACGGTCTTTTTAGTTTTAGTGTTAGAACATTTTTGTTCTTGTCAGTGGGTTGAACTACGAAAAAGACGGCGCCACTCCAGCGCCTAATATTAGGCTTCCGGTCCCGGAGAGGTTAAATATGTATAAATATAATCTAATCTTTGCTACCCAAAATTAAAATTATAACATTTTTGTAAATACTTGAATTATTAATTTAAAAAATTTAATTAACCCTTTCTGCAAAGACACTTGCAATGAAAAAGAATTACATAGCGCACAGTAATTAAACCATGTATTCAACAACAGTACTTAATATATTTTAACTCAAAGAAAACTTGAAATTTTAAATCAAACTTGAAATCAGATGTTTAACAATAAAAATTCAAGATCGTCTAATAATACGTGATCATCTAATATAGATAGAGATGCTTTTATTTGATACTGCACTTGCTTATATATGGGAGAGACTATTATACAATAATTGTACAGTTGGTATAATCGCTGAAATATTCAATTACTGTACAAAACTTGGATGTACAAATGTCAATTAATTATTTACACGTCTAGTAATAGCCAATTAGTATGTGCATCCGAATTTTGTATTTTAATGTTATACGGAATAATTTACATGTTAGTTCTTTATTTTCTCCTTTGTTTATATATTTAAATTGCATCCGTTCAACTTGGTATATATCTCATGGGTGCTGCCTGGTATGCCGTGGTTGTGGATGTCAGAGCTACCACCTACTTAAACTTAAGCGAAAGTTTAAGAGAGACAGAGAATATCTCACGGGAAACCTACATGGTCTGGTTGTTGTATGTTTGCAGTGGCAATAGATCTAATAGTGCATCACATCTGGGATATTTTGCGTTTGAAAAACGCCGAAAACTCAGCCGGGCAGCATCCATTCCTCTACCAGCGTAGACGTACTTCGACCTCATCCGACACGCTCAGCAGATGACTTAAGCATGATAAGCTCACTCTGTCAAGCACTGCATTTTTTCTACATCACGCTCTTGTGTATGACTGAATTCTGTACGACATTTTTCCAATCCTTCTTCTAATAATTACGGAGAAGTAATGTCCGTTTTTTTTAAATGCAGGATTACTCATACATTTATGTCATCGATCGATTCAAATCAATTAGCAGTGACTTGAATAACGGATAATTCTCGATAGACTCGAATTCATAAATAGTGAGTCAAATTAATTAAAGTAAAAAACAAACAAATGAATACAATAAGTACTTTTGCTAAAATATCTATTAAATTAGATTCTGTTGTGATCAATCAATTTCGATGAGTATTAAATTTTGATATGAGACTTAATATTTGTATTTACTAATGTCTAGGATTTTTATTTCTGTTGTGATACTTTCACACAAACGCTAGATTATGGTCAATTAAACACGACGTTTGATTAAAACTTTATATGATGGAAACGGACATTGTTTATTCGCCAATGATGTATTACAGTCATTGAGAATTTATATACCTTACATTTTTACATGGCGGAGAGAATGGTGCTTTTTATACATATTTTATCCTAAATGAGTACATTAGCTTGAATTACAATTCTAAATCGTCGAAAAATGCATGAATTGTGTAAATTCACTAAAAAATAGGTGAATTAAAAGGGATTGACAGCAATAGCGTCGATGCAATTGAATTCTTAATTTTTCAACTCTAGATTTTTATTTTTCAATATCTTTTTATTTTATTTCTATATTATTATCAATATGCTAGCATTATATTTCGTTTTATATCTCTGTTTACTAGAACGATATAATGTTTCTAGATTTTTTTTATATAAGAACTATAATAGTAATGTATGTACTTAAATTATATTGAATAATTTAGAATATTTAGATTAAAAGAACAAAAACAACTGTTTTAAAAGCTGTTTAATATTCTAACTCACATTTCCTCATAAATTAAGATTATTTTTTATTTTTAAATTTATATAAAGAGAATTAAAATAAGAATAAAGAATTTGAAAATATTTTCTAATTCCGAAAAATTAGGAATTCAATTCCATAAAATAAATTCCTATCAATTTGTCTTAATTTGGCCATTCTTACAAATTATAACTTAATATCATATCACATAACTACCTATGGTCACTCGGCGATTTTCTGGACAAATATATCTCAAGTATTACGTAAGAAAAACTTACGAATAATATGTACGTGTGCGATATTGTATCTGTGATATGTGTGACGTGTGTAAATTTGTATGTTTGTGTACAAATGTATTTTAAATACATACATTTTAGTCTTCTCTATAAGATATACGATTTCTGATAACTTATATGTTTTGCATTTGCATTTTGCATAATACTTTAGAATGTAATCACACGCAAGTATCCACTAGCATAATTATCTAAGATGCAATTTATCTTAGACTTACCTCGAAATATTTGCCTATTGCACTCTATAATGTTAATTCTTGTATTTCAATATGTACAACCATAAAAGATACGCCCAAACTGTTAGTTCCTTTCTGTACAGCAAAAATCTTAAAGCTAGCTTCGTTTTAAACGTAGCCTGAGCTACATCCTATTGAGATAGAATTATGATTTGTACCTCCTTATGTATAAATAATTACAGTTGAAGCGAAATCTCTATTAAAATCCTTTGGTTAATTTCTCAATTCATTAAAATCTTAATATTTTTGTTGTATATAGTTTAAGCTTTTAGTAAGTTTTATTATAAGTTTATTATAAAAAGCCTCGATTTTTTTGAGACTATTAAAATATTCTTCCTAATTTGCACCAATGAATATCTTAGTTTAAAAAGTTTAAAAAGAGAGTGAGAAAGAAAGGGAGCACCAGTTCTGGGACACTATTGCATATTATTAATAAAAAACAAAAAAATTTCTTGTATTTGCAAAATAGTATATGAACACAAGTGTCTTATGCATAATAAAACCATAATAATTCTAATGCGATCACAATTGTTATTTGAGATACAATTAATTTCAAATATTTGATATTGTTCTAAGATGTATGATATATCACAAATAAAGCAATTTATCTTATCCCTGACATAATTGTGCATCATATTCGCGAATACTGATGTTTCGTGATCTGTTGCAGTGGCGATAGATCTGATAGTGCAGCACATAAGAGACTTCTTAAGCAACCGAGGTAGACAAATGGCGGAACCTGAAAGTCCAATAAGCAGGGTAGAGGGATTATTCAAGAGACCGCATTAATTTTTGAGACTTTATAACATGTTTTAGAGTCATCCGCCAAGTCATGTTTTATTTTCTTTGAATACTCGTATATTTTTTTAAATATAATTTTAATAGTGATAAAGCATAAAAAAAATCTTTTTAGATCAATGTTTTAGGAGGCATTGTATTGCGTTTTTATAACATTTATCCGTAACGTTTGCATTGTGTAGTAACGTTTGAGTGAAAATGATTAAATAATAATAAAACTAAAAGCTTATACTTACGATATTTATGTAGAATACACAGGATGTGATCAAGACATGTAGCAAAGTGCAAAGTTGCAAGAGTAGATCACACGCGATAGGATGAGAATGTATACATGCCTAAGTACACATGGATAATTTTTCTTGTCCTTCTAGCATAATTTACAAATTTACTTTGCTATACCTTCGAGTTGCATCCTACATATGTAAGTCATATAAAGGCACTAATATCAAATGGCATATACTACTTAACTACTACATGGCACAATTGAAACTGTTAATTTATAGAGCAAATTACAGATTGTTAAAATATATAGCGATATTTATGAGGCTTGTATGATTATTGCAAAAATAGAAATTATTTTCCTTATTGATATTTGTGATTATTTAATTTTATATTCAACCTTTTATTCTTATATATGTACATTACATTTATAGACATAGAAAGTAAAGCTTAATAATTATGACGTATAATACCAAAAATGCAAAAATGCTTACATGTAACATTAGTTTACATTATTTATTGATAGTAGAGCTCTAAGTTCATGCCGTCATGTATCTCATCTGAAGCAGCGTATTAAGGAAAAGACTTCCTGAAAAATATATGATGTTTGACGAAGCGTTACTAGGTTACTCGTGGTAAAAAGGATACAGTCCTGCAGCTTTATATGGTCCTTGAAAATGGTGTACCACTTCTTCAACACGATCTTCTCCCAGTGTGTTCCAGTCTGGGCGGCTATCAATTTCTTCAGGTCTCCTATGGTGTCGTCCGGATTGCATTTCACTCTAACCTTTTTGCCGAGACGATCGTTGCACGTTATCTCTAACATTTTTTATATACCTAAGGACAGATAACCTCTCTGATAATATAATGATATTAGATTAATGTATAATTAAAATTTATTTACTTTTAACTGACTTGTTAATTTCAGAATATCGATAAATCAGGTTGTTTACTTGGGATTTTTGCGTGATCCACAAATGTAAATAATCCCACTTACTGATAAAATCCTCGCAATTTTCCGCGACAGAATAAATGACAAGAGCAATCTTAACTCTTCTTCTCGAGGAAAATCAAGGCAAACCGAGCAAACGACTCGTGTCTTCTTCCTTTTTGAGGTTAGGAAACACTGTGACATAGGTCATATCACCCATGGTGGAAGAACACAGGTGTGCTCTTGCGCATATATTTCTAACAGCCAATGAGAAATTGATGCCAGATACCTCCATCTTGCCGCGGTACAGTTTGAATTTGGCGTTATGTCATTAGTGTATAGGCTGCGGTCAGTGCGGTCCACTTGATGCTACAAATGCTTCGAAGCATTCCTCTTCTCTTTTCTTTCAATGAAGAAATAAGGAAAAGAAGAATGCTCCAAAGTATTTGTAGCGTCAAGTGGACCGCAGTCTTACTTATTTATTTTTATGTTTTACTTATTTATTTTTGAGTTTAATTTATATATAAAAAGGACAATTGTTGAAAAATAAATCAGTTTGAAAAATATATTATTAATATTGCATACATACGTATATGATATAATTACACAGTATATAAAAACATACATGTAATGCGTACTTATTTTTTAAGGAGGTTGAAGCGATCCAGTTGAGTCAATTGACGGTTTAGAAAAAAGTTTTTTATTAGGTCATTAAAAAATCTGTATTAGGTATCATTTTATTCTCCATACGCTGCTATTGCATAAAACGTATAGTAAAAGTATCATATTATGCATCTTTATATTTTAATTAGCTAAAAACGAAA